TCACCTGGAGTACTGCATCCAGTTCTGGGGGTGCCAGTACAGGAGAGATATGGAGCTGTTGGAGTGAGTCCAGAGGAGGGCCACGAAGCTGATCGGAGGGCTGGGGCCACTCTCCTCTGTTGGGGTTGTTCAGCCTGGAGAAGAGTTGGCTCCAGGGAGACCTTATAGCAGCCTTCCAGTACCTGAAGGAGCCCACAGGAAAGCTGGAGAGACTGTTTACAAGGGCATGGAGTGATAGGACAAGGGGTAACCACTTCAAACTAAAAGAGTGTAGATTTAGACAGAATATTAAAGTAAAAGAAGATGATGTAACAAAGAAATTCGTTAATATGAGGGTGGTGAGACACTGGAATGGGTTGCCAGAGAAGTTGTGGATGCCTCATCCCTGGAAGTGTTAAAGGCCAGGTTGGATGGGGCTTTGGGCAACCTGGTCTAGTGGAGGGTGTCCCTGCTTGCAGGAGGGGGGTTGGAACTAGATGATCTTTAAAGTTCCATTCCAACCCAAACCATTCTATGATTCTGTGTTGAATTTTCTACCTTTGAGGTCATTATGTAGTTCAAAGATGGTTTGCCTTTGAGAGAAAAGGGACCATGAACAGGTGCTAATGTCTTTTTTCCTGCTCTGTATCACTGATAAAATCTGGCTAAATGCAAATACACAGATATGCTATTGTTGAAAGAAAGTAACTAAACTTATTGCTAGTTGGATTTTCTACATTTTCTTCTGCAGGTTGGGGACAGGATTGTTAGCATCTGTGGAACATCTGCTGAGGGCATGACTCACTCCCAAGCTGTTAGTCTCTTAAAAAGTGCTTCAGGGACTATTGAGTTGCAGGTAAAAAAAATCTGCAGTGACATTTGGAATATTTTCTGAATACTATTTTGCCAGCTGCTACAATTAATTATTTTAGTGTCAGCATTCTCATTTTACTGTTTTACAAACTCTGTTCCTAGGTTGTAGCTGGAGGAGAAGTAAGTGTCATAACTGGTCAGCAGCAGGATCCACCTACGTCCAATCTTTCATTTGTGGGACTAACTTCAACCAGCATTTTTCAGGATGATTTAGGGTCAGTAACTATAGAATATACAAAGTCTGCAGCCTGTTATTTTAGATGCAACTCAACCTAAAAAACTTAGAAATTCTAGCAAATAATGGATGAATTGTTTGACTTAATCATGACTTACACATTTAGTATACATGGGACCTGTAGGCCATAGGTCCTCTTCTGAGTCTTTCATGATGTGATTTGCTGTGCTGCTTTATTTTACCCCTCTATAGAGCTATGACGTGATTTGATTTCTTTTCTGTAAATGCAGCCTCGTTTGTTTCACTGAGCCTTGGTAGCTGGGATTAATTGATACACCCAAAATGTTTTTCCTCAGACTTAATTAGCAAGGCCCTTTCCACAGTGGTACCTGTGTTTCCATAATGTGCTTTCTAGCACTGGGCTATCAAGAGCATCCAACTTTTCTGGTATACAAGGTATACTGCTTCTGGTATGCTGCAAGGTACAGCTATGTAAACAAGTTTTGCCTCAAACTCCTGTCATAAATCTGAGGCATTTTTCTTCTAGGAACACGAAAAGAGAGAATGGGGCTCCTTAGCCACACAGATCTACCTCAAAAGATGGAACTTCAAAATTCCTAATACTCAAAGTATACATGAGGAAATATACCTATAAATTGTCTCTATAAATGCATACATACAAATACACAGTCATATATTAAAGGAGGAGACAAGCAATTAAACCTTACTGTTTGGGCTAATTTTAGATGTGTTTTAGGAGGTGTAATGGGTTACAGGATTTTTAAAGTAGACTTTTGTTATGGAGATTTGAAGTAGCGGTATTGCATCTCTGCTTCGCTAGTAAGCACTGTTAGTGGGACATTGCAGCTGTAACTGTGCCCTGAGCTGTGTGGAAGAGGTGTTTGAAATAGCTACCGTTAAGTAAGAATGAGGGCATTAGACAATTATAGTGTTTTACATGAACTGAAATAGCCAGTTCATTATAATAAAAGCATTTGTAGTTATAGTGGAAAGGGAAACGTATTACTTAGCTTGAAAGGAAAAATGTTTCTTGGTGAATATTCTACATGTTAAATTATAAGTTCAGACAACATCACAGTACCCTTTTTCCTTTTCTTAGACCTCCTCAGTACAAGACTATTACTCTGGATAGAGGACCAGATGGTCTAGGCTTTAGTATTGTGGGTGGTTATGGCAGTCCCCATGGAGACCTACCCATTTATGTAAAGACGGTGTTTGCAAAGGTAAGTGTAAATTTGTTCAGTCAATCCATTTATTAGTTAGTTCACAGCAGCTGCTATCTTAAATCATGGCCTGAGTTTGAAGCCAAAGGATTGATACAGTTTCTCACAGCTTTTCTTACCTAGTGCAAATGCTGGTCAAAATGTGCTTGCAGCATTTGAAGTCTGTAGTCTTAGAAAGAGTCAGATTTTCCAAATGCATGTGACTCTGCGTATGGCAGAGTCTTCTTCAACTCTGAAAACTAGAATTGTGCACCTATTTAGAAAAACAGCCCCCTTGCTTTATGTTTAAAGTGTCTTTTCTTCAGGTAGTAGAAGGGACTGGTTTATTTATTTTGACTGAGAGTCTGAAAGGTAGACCAAGATAAAATAATTGAACTCAGTCTAAACCTTAGGAGAAGTTTAGGTACTGACCTGGATTTGATAGTTTGGACTACCATGGGAAACAGCCCTGAGTCAGAAAAAACTGGAATCCAGAATCCCAAACTTTTATGGTAAAGCAAAGCACAGAGCTGGGTTTTGTTTACTTAATTTCTTATGCGAGTTGCTGAAAACTTCGTCAGGTCTTGAAGATCTTACTTCTATAGTAAAGTTTAAATGTTATACTAGCTGGATGAACAGGGTTAATAGAATATAAAAATCTGTAGATCGGATTTCTAGATGTTGTGAAACTTAGGGCACAGCATAGTCCAGCACTAGCAAGCTGTACTACAGTTGACTGTAGTTAAATCATTGAAAATCAAAACAGTTTTAGGGGATTTCATGCACTGAACCCATCTTATTCAGACCATAAGGACAATGTGGCAGGGTGAGAAAGAAATGGATGAGTCTGCAGTTACGTGTTGTATCGTTTCAGGGTGCAGCAGCAGAAGATGGACGCCTGAAGAGAGGGGATCAAATCATTGCTGTGAATGGGCAGAGTTTAGAAGGGGTGACCCATGAGGAAGCGGTTGCTATTCTGAAAAAGACAAAAGGAACAGTCACTTTGACTGTTTTGTCATGAATTTGCTGCCCAAAGGATTAGGGTTAATAAGACTATATTATTTACATTCCACATAGCAAAGAGAATGCAAGTGTTTATATAGTCTTCTTCCTCTTCCAGCTTCATAGGATTATGTTACAATACTGAAGAAAAATAACATCTAACCATATTTTTGTATACAATAGAAATATTTCTCTTACTGTCAAACCACTGGGATGGAGTTACGTCAACTATGGAAAGACATGGATATTTTTGCTATTAGTATTGTAATGAATGCTTGTAAGCCACCAAAAAAAAAAAAAAAAAGAAAGGAATGTTTGCATTAATGACCACACAACAAAACTGGAGTGTTTTGCTAAGAGGCTTTGGATGTTTGAAATATGTTGGAAAAATTATAAAATCACCAGGTCAACAAGGGGGTGGCATGGGCAGCAGTAGTCAGAAAACAGAAATAAGGTTATTGAACAAAGAAAGTATTAACAAAATACGGACTTTTTGAGAAAAGGAGAAGTATGTAATCTGGGGGCAGATGATTAATGGACTTAGATGGTTATTTGTATTCCACAATGCCCAAGTCGAAGAAACCAGGAGGGTAACTTGGCTGAGTATTTTTGCTTGTCTGTTTGTGTGTTTAAATTTCCAAAGTCATGGTGTATCAAAAAAAAATAAAACCTGTGGTTTAGTTTGGCTTAGGTTTGAGGGTTTGGGGTTTTTCCTTTTGAGGCAGGGGAGTGCATGTGTTTGTTTTGAAAGGAGAGGACTTGTGCTCAGGGCTGAAAAGTCCATTTGCTAGTGGAAACTACTGCTGGTGAATGTGAGTGCCCAGCAGCTGCAGTATTAGAACTAGATTTTTCTTTTATGATGATAATATTTTCTAGCCTACATGGGTGTGAAAGCAACAGTCACAATATGAAATGTGTGTAAGCAAAGGTTGTCCTCTTTCAATGCACAAAATTTAAGTACAGGCTTAGTGCAGACCTTTCTGTGAGCTGCTTGAATCAGAGCTGTGAACAAACTGTGCAGGGCAGGTTTACTTAGCTGCAGACAGGGACTGAGATGGAAGAAGCTGATGTTACGGTGTTGCTGCCACTAGCAGTAGCAGCAAAGGTAGAGTCCTCCTTAGACTGAAGAGGTTAAAACTAGGAGTTGAGGGTGGGTAAAAGGCTGAGTAGAGGTGAGTAGTAAGACAGCAGTGAACGTCTTTCTGCATCAGCATTCATCATAAGAGGAAATTTGAGGGCCACAAATACTGATTTGGGTTTATTAATTTTAGAGGCACAAACACAAGACAGTGTCTAGTAAGCATGATGCAACCATGGATCTGTTCTTTGGGCAGTAGTGTGGTCCATACATTTATCAACATTCTCAGTTTCCGAAGTTGGGATCCTCACTAAAACTTTATTAAAAAACTGCACTCACTGAAACCCTTAGCTGATTCATCAAGTCTTTTGAGGGAGAAAAATACCTAGCTAATTGGCATGCTAATTAGCAGCAGGACCTTTTGTGTGAATTAGCAAAAAAAATTGTGGCAAGAAGCCCACCACATCAATTGTCATTTAAAAGAAATCTGTACTGAAAATGCAGGCAATGTTCAAGCCATTATTAGGGTAAGAGACAAAAACTAGCATTTGTTTTAGTGAGACACAAAACCAGTATTAGAAATATCTGTGAAACAGGATTAACAAATTGATACTTAGGTCTAAGTGAATTAACTAAAAACCCCACTCTCTTTATCTCTTTAACTATTCTAGAAGTTATACAGTGATAGGCTAAAATGAAAGCAAACATACGGTACCGTTACTGGATGATGTGACTGAATTGCTCTTCCTCTATACTTCTTGGTTAGAGTGAGAAATGCCTACATCAGAGTATGTGAAGTCTTTCTAAATAGTGTCTATATTTGTAACAGAAGTAGTGTACAGATATTTTATTACTGTTGTTGTGTCTAAGTGGAGGATTTAAGTGAATAAATTCCAAACTGTCAAGATGAAGAAACAAAGTAGCGGATATATTTCTGGTTTCTTTACAATGGCATGCTTGCACTATTCGTTCCATTGTGAAAAATTAATTAAAATAAAATAAACAACAAAACCAAATGGCATTATTCTTTATGTTAACCTTGAAGCATCTGCTAAAAATTGCTTTCTTTGGATTTTAAGATTTTATCTTCCCTTGCAAACTCTTAGCAAATCCATGAGACCAGATACCAAAACTATCTAGGAATTAATAATGAAGCTGCCTTGCTTTTTTGAATTGTTCAGCCTATTTAAAAAGCATTCTTTCAGGTGTGCGGGGAGGTAAAAACAGTGAGCCATGGAGTCTGTGACTTTGCTTTTATCTGTGACCCACGCTGCTGCTTCAAAGCACAGGATCTCCCCTGAGCCCCACACCAGGGAAACTGTTGCGTGACTGCTGATTAGTTGCTGCCATGCACTGGACCGTGAGGTGTAACAAACTTTATAGGCTTAAAAGGTTTGGTTTTCTTTATCATTTGGTATTCAGTGCAACCTTCATAACACAGGGGTTAGTCCTGTAAGGTGCTGGGCATATGGCCCCAGTTCTACCAAGTCTCCTGGTTCTGGTTGTGTTTTTTTCTGTGTGACTGTGTTCACTATGGGACTAGACAAGGTTAAAACATCTGAAATATTCATGTGTAGGGAGCACTTCTGTCTTAGGCATCACTTGAAATTGCTAAGAACACACAAAAATTTTCACTTCCTTTACAAACACTATTAAAACTGTGAACACTGTTGTCCATAGCACATTCAACACCTGCAGTATATACAAGTCCTTTTTATTTCTGAATTGGAGATCATGCATCTTTCTCAACAGCTGTGTAGATCTTGATTTTAATGCCTTTTAGTTCAAAGCCACTGTTGCAGGATTATGCGTTAGCTTGTGAAATCGTGCCGCAGATGATGGGAAAATGCTAACAATGTCAGGTTAGACTGAGCCATTTCAAACATTTGAGAACAGTATACTTACTGATGGAAGATGATGCCTAAATAGATCAAGGTTCCTAATTTTTTGCCATGTGTTTTCATTCTCCTGTGGTAAAATCTTCCACAGTATTATTGAACTTTCTACTCCCATTGAAAATGGCCATGTGAAATGGGCAGGAAAAGAAAAAAAAAGAAAAAAGGTGTTGCTTCTCCTTTTTCAGTAGAAGAGGAGAAAAATTTCTGATAAACTACTAATCCTGAAAGCTGTATACATCTCTCTTGAAGGTAACAGAATTATCCAAACTGGATTATTAATTTTAACTCTATTTTTTTGTGAAGTTGCAGTAGCAAATTGTTTCTAGAAAGTGAACTAAGCAGGCTTTCAGTCCGTCTTTCTCATCAAACTACTTTCTGGTCAGTCCATTTTTTTGATCTTCAGATACGCAGTTTAAATATATAACTTTTTTAATAATTACATAAAGGGAGCACAATAATTCTTACCTGTGTTCTTAGCTGAGGATGCTATATTGGATATTTTAAGTGCTTGCAGTTAGATGTCCAGGTTACCCATAGATAGACAAGTGAAAGGTTTTTGTCTAAGATGGGAGGCTTTGAATTTGTCAGCATTTGTTAATGTTTTCTGGTATTTCAGCCTTTGGCAGTTCATTAGTTAAGATTACACTTTGTTAAGCTCAGTTCAGTTAAGAGTACACTTTGAGCAAGGCATGCATTATAACTGAAAGGGTGTGATGGCTCTTCACGAGTGTCTCTGTGGGATGGGCATACCTTTTTTCAGACTCTCAGCACCGGTCAGCAACAGAGTGTCATAGTTTGATGTGTTTTCGTAATATTTATTTATGCTCCTCACTGTTCATAGCTACAGAAGAGTGCATGGTACCAGGACTGTGAGGACTAAGACCCCAGGGTACATTTTCAGGATGCTTTGTCAGGTTTCCACTGCTGCACACCAGCCAGAAATAAGGGAGCCTGAGTTTCTTGTTGGGCACATCCTGAGGCACATTAGAAGTCTCTGCAGGCTGTAACTTTCTAGTACTTTGTCATCTCAGGGATGCCAAACACTTAAGGGCACCAAGCACTTCAGAGTTTCACATTATTGGGGATTTTATAAAAAGCAATGGGAGCAGCATCTTGGGTAGTTAATAGGAAATGGATTGTTCTCTGTTTTTGGAGAATCTTTGCAACTGTCAAAGACATACACATTTTGTTATGCCTTGAAAAAAATTTATTCATTACTCAGTGTTAAATGTGAATATGTCTGATGATAGGAGTAGAAAGGTCTGTGTTGCAGATGAGTTATATAAATACCAATATAATCCTAATGGTTAAAGCAGCAAAGCTTCACCGGAAAGTCTTGTTTGTGACAGAAACCACTGAGGACAGACGATAATAAAGATTGTCATATGGGGAAAGCATTAACCTTTGTTACTGTCACCAAAACTAGAAGATGGTTAGAAGTGATAATGTTCATATTTTTGTCATGCTTTTTTAGTAATTTCACATGAACTCTTTTTCCAATATTTTATACATTTTCCCAAGTGTAAAGTGCCTGCAAAAAGTTAATAAGGTGTTATTCTTCTGATTTAAATGAAATTAAATGGAATTAAAAAAATGACTCAGTCATTGTTTCAGTTATGTCATTTTTCTTGGTATTGATGAACGTATACAAATACAGGCAGTGAAGGAAAATGTCGCTCATAATGTTAGAATTCTCTTCGGGAATCCAAGCAACTCTAAACCTAGTGTCTGGGCCGGAGACTTCATTTTTGGTAGTTGGGAATTTTAGGTAGGACAAGTGACACATTTAATGTAGTAAATTAGTGTTGTTTCGTGGTGATCTTAAATGCTGGATAATAGGAGGTGCATCTGCAGCTTCTTCTTTTTGCATGTACCTAGAATGTTCACTGCTTGAATTCCTGTGTCCTGGAAAAGTTCCTGTAAAGAGAAGGCTTAGGCTCCACCATTTCACAGAATCACAGACTGGTAGGCGTTGGAAGGGACCTCTGGAGATCATCTAGTCCAACCCCCCTGCTAAAGCACGATCACCTAGACCATGTTGCGCAGGATCATGTCCAGGCAGGTTTTGAGTATCTCTGGAGAAGGAGACTCCACCACCTCTCTGGGCAGCCTGTTCAGTGCTCGGTCACCCTCAAAGTTTTTCCTCATATTGAGACGGAACTTCCTGTGTTCCAGTTTGTGACCGTTGCCCCTTGTCCTGTCACTGGGCACCACTGACAAGAGTCTGGCCCCTTCCTCTTGACGCCCACCCTCTAGATATTTATAAGCATTGATGAGATCCCCTCTCAGTCTTCTCCAGGCTAAACAGA